TGTTACCACAGTCAACCTTACTAAATTTTGGTAATGCTAAATCTTTTTACTAGCAGCGTTTGTTTTAGTTTGAAGTCTTTGCTAAATTTTCAACTACTGTGAGCGGTCTAAACTTCGACCCTTCTTTCTTTCTTCATTTAAAAAAAGGGGAGCAAAGCCTGTTTTTTGCTCCCTCAATTGATAGATCAGGGCCCCTCCTGCTGGCCCGAACGATAGAGTTTTAAGAGAGGAAGTGTCTAGAACTACCAAAATTTGTATTAATGGTTGAAGCGTATTTGATTTGCTATTTTTTTAAAAAAATGAAAATGACAAAAATTTAGTGTGGTTGGAAGTGGTAACAAGCCCTTAATTTCAAAATCGAGCTGTAAAATTCAAAATTGGCTACGGTCAGACTCACAGCTCAAACAAGCACGCTGTTTTTCTTTCTTTTCCACTATGCTGCAGTTGTTTTCTGCCATCGCTATAGTCAGTTTCCGTCCTTCGAAGGGTCTCCCACTCCGAACCGCCGGTGGGCATTGCCATTCTCCAGTCTACAGGAAGTGGATCCCCTGACTTTGCTATGCAAAATCATGCGTGTGCAGTTCTATCCTATCCACCGTCCGTTCTCATCCGACGGTGCACACTCGTTGCCCCAATTCCTTTCTTCTTCTTGCTCGCTTCATTCGGTAGTTTCTTGGCCCGCCACGGCCGCCATCATCTGCTCAAAAACTCCTTCCATCTCGTAATCAGCGACACGAAACACGGAAATGGACTAACCGTTGGCAAATCTTTCGGCCTTGCACCTCATCCCGGTCTCTACCTTCTTGGCATCCGAATCCAGTGGTGCAGCCGTGTGCACAGAGATGATTCATCTCGACGAAGCGATGACCGGAACATTTGATTATGAAATGTGCCTTACGATATACGAAGTCTTGTTACTGTGATGGTTTGAGTACCAGTGAGAGTCCGTCAATTGGAAGAAAATGCTCGTATTGCAGAAGGTGATGTTCACATTCGGTGCTTTGGGTAGAGGTCGTGCAAAGGGAGAAGCTTTTACTGGATTTACCAACCACCTATCACCATTTTAATTGTTACAACGACAATCTGACTAAAATAGCCTAAACCTTTCCAGCAGCTAAAATTGCGATCTGGTTAGGAGTGACGGTCATGGCGCCTGGCCTCGAAGGTGAAGGTGCAGACTCCAGAGCGAAGGGAGCAAGAAGAAAGGAATTGAGAAATAAGAGAGTGTGCACCGTCGGATCAGAACGGGTGGTGGATTGAGCAGAACTGCACGCCCGTGACTTTGCTATCCAAAGTCAGGAGATCCGTTTCCCAGTCCACAACATCACATGCTATGGGTGTAAAAACAAGAAGCAAAAGAAAAAAAAACAAAAAAAACATCACATATGCTATGGCCGAATAAAACGGAAAGGCACCTGATGCGATTCAGTAGCAACTTGCGGCCAAATAATAGCCGACCTGAAGTAGATCAGACATGGGGACTAGGGCTTTGGACCTGAGCTATCTTGACCATCTTTGATACAGCAAAGATCGTAGTTGTTTGGCGCATTTTTTTTTTTTTTGAGAACTCATGCACTTTATTAAAAGAAAGCGTTTTAGAAACACAAAGCATGAGTTACATTAACTGCTCCATTAGGAGTGAAGGAAAGAGCTCTTTTAGTAGGACAAACATCTCTGGAACAAATGTGAGAAATATTAGAGCAATCAAACATTGGTACTGAGGTTTTTGGATACTTTTTCGCTTCCGGAGAGATCAGACAATTCCTCCCTCGGCGGAAAAGTTCCAGCGTGCAGAGAATGAAATACAAAGGATGAGAGCATTCTACGGCTGTGTTCGCAAGTCAAGTTTTCCAACCTCCGCTGTCTCATTTCGTATACACACGTTTTTCGAGCTACTAAATGGTAAAAAATATGTAGAAAAGTTAATGTAAAAAAATATATTAATCTATTTTCAAATTTTTCTAGCTAATACTTAATTAATTATGCGCTAATAAAAAACCTGTTTTCCGTGCACGGGAGAGAGGTTTCCATCCCCTTCTCCCGAACACAGTCTACGAGTAGATCCTAGCCACAGGTATTTTTGGAACAGATCATGTATGGAGCACTTGGGACAGGTTTGTATAAAGCATTTTACATGTTCTGCAGCATTCTCTTATGTAATTCAAACCTTCTTGCTGTGCACTCCCTCCTCAAAAAGAATGCAATTCTGCATTCGAAATTTGTTGCCAAAAGAATACAATTCTGAAGTACTACTCCAATCATTCCTCATTTAAATTTTTTTCTCAACTTATCCCCAACCATCCTCACACTCCTTACCATTCTCCTTTAACGAGGGTATCTAAGTTATTTTCTTCTTACTGATTTGCCTTTTAGACGCCACTATTGTACTTGTATTTTTTTTTGGGTGTTTTACAGTACCCTCCACTTATACGTGTAGTAGTGTAGTAGGATTACCGTTTTTTTTGACAAATTGACCCTTTTGGAAAACTTATTTCGAAACTAACCCCTGCCAAAAACTTCAACCAAAAATAGGCCGTCGCCTCAGCGCCAAACACATTGGCGCTGACATTGGCCGTGTCAGCGCCAACGGGACTGGCGCTGACATTGTGCCACCGTGGCGGCCGGGCCGATCCCCAGCTGACGTGGCAGCTACCTCAGCGCCAACCGGACTGGCGCTGAGGTGGGACTTGGCCGCAACCCCTAAGGCCCAGACCAGCAAGCCTTCTGGATGGCTTGCGGGCTGGGACCTCAGCGCCAGCCATAATGGCGCTGACCGTGGGACACTCAGCGCCAGCCCACCTGGCGCTGAGGTGGGACTTGGCCGCAACCCCCAAGGCCCAGACCAGCAAGCCTGCTGGATGGCTTGCGGGCTGGGACCTCAGCGCCAGCCATAATGGCGCTGACCGTGGGACACTCAGCGCCAGCCCACCTGGCGCTGAGGTGGGACTTGGCCGTTTCGGCCTTGGCCCAGCCCAGCAAGCCTTCTGGATGGCTTGCGGGCTAGGACCTCAGCGCTAGCCATAATGGCGCTAACTGTGGGAAACTCAGCGCCAGTCCACCTGGCGCTGAGGTGGGCCTTGGCCGTTTCGAGCCTTCTGGATGGCTTGCGGGCTGGGACCTCAGCGCCATCCATAATGGCGCTGACTGTGGGAAACTCAGCGCCAGCCCACCTGGCGCTGAGGTTGGGCACCTCAGCGCCGAAGCGGTTGGCGCTGAGGTAGCTGCCACGTCAGCTAGGGGATCGGCCCGGCCGCCACGGTGGCACAATGTCAGCGCCAGTCCCGTTGGCGCTGACACGGCCAACCTCAGCGCCAATGCGCTTGGCGCTGAGCCGACGGCCTAGTTTTGGTTGAAGTTTTTGGCAGGGGTTAGTTTCGAATTAAGTTTTTGAAAAGGGTCAATTTGTCAAAAAAATGGGTAGGATTAGATCTGACCTTTGATTTTTGGGGGCATTTTAGTCATTCTCTTAATTTTAGTGGAAGGGTATTACAGTAATTTCGTCTTCCAATCGTTTTCACTGTTCGCTAGACCCGCATTCCTCTGCTTCATCCGCCATCTGCGCATCGCCTCCCCTCCCCTCCACCTATTGTGCGCGGCGCCTCGCCGCCCATCCCTGCGACTCGGTGCGCCGCCGCGCCACCCCTCCACCTTCGCGCAACCGCGCTGGCCCTCACCTTTGCGCGACCCGTTGCCGCCCCTCCACCTCCGCGCGGTCGCGGCGCCCCTCCCCTTTCGCGCGAGCGCGACCTGGTGTTCGGCGCGTCGGCGATCCCGTCGTGGCGGACGTTGGGGTTCGTGGAGTACATCCCGTCAGGGAAGAAGCAGGGGGGCATGGTGCTGGTTGTCCCCGAGGGGAGCTACGCGGTGCGGCTCGGGAACGAGGCGTCGATCCGGCAGCGCCTCGCCGGCGCGGCGCGCGGCGCGCGGTACGCGCTCACGTTCAGCGCGGCGCGGACGTGCGCGCAGGCGGAGCGGCTGAACGTGTCGGCGTCGGGGCAGTGGGCGGTGCTCCCCATGCAGACCATGTACAGCAGCAACGGCTGGGACTCGTACGCCTGGACGTGGGACGCCGCTGCCAACGTGTTCGACGTCGTCATCCACAACCCCGGCGTCACCGAGGACCCCGCCTGCGGCTCCCTCATCAGAAACACGGTTGAAAACAGCTTCCAGATAGTCATATATAAAATGTGGAGGCAATGGCTGACAGAAAATTCAAACTCGGTTTGAATTTTGTCATAATTTAGCTAGATTTCAACTGGGAATGTACTGACCGTGTCGAAAAAAAAACAGTCAGTTTTTTCGTTGTGATCACATAAATTAAACAATATCTGCCATTTTAGGACAATATATGTAATGTCCGGATTCCATCCGATCTGTCTAGACCGGGTCGGCAGCCAAAAAAACATGTGTTTTTTCATCGTAAAGACATAAATTAAACAAGATATACCATTTTAGGACAATATATGTTATGTCCGGATTCCATCATGTATGTTCGGACTGGGTTGGCAATGAAAAACACGTCTTTTTTGTCATGATCACATAAATTAAATAAGATATACTCCCTCTATTACATGTTATAAGACGTTTTGACTTTTAAGTTTGACCAAGTTTATAGAAAAAATAGTAATATTAACGACCTAGGATGAATTTATTATAAAAATGTATTTAATTATTAATTTAATAAAAGTAATTTGGTAATGTAAATATTATTATATTTGTTTATAAACTTAATCAATTAAACTTGAATCAGTTTGACTTTGATCAAAGTCAAAACATCTTATAACCTGAGAAGGAGGGAGTACCATTTTTGGACAGTATATGTAAATATGTTACATCAAGATTCTACCAGGTCGCAACCAAAAACACGTGTTTTTTTTTCATGATCACATAAATTAAACAAGATCTACCATTTTAGGACAATATATGTTACGTCCGGATTTCATCCGATCTATCTGAATCGGGTCAGCAACCAAAAACACGTATTTTTCGTTGTGATCACATAAATTAAACTAGAACTACCATTTTAGAACAAATTATGTTATGTCTGGATTACAAACATGCGAGGAACCAGCCGGTCCGAACATGCGAGGATAAGATGCTTGTCCAATTTTATTTTGAGTCCATGTATTATCGGCTGGATCAGTGGAGCCCATTTAGGAGTTTGAGTCCAAGTACGTACATCTGGCCCAGTGCTTTGGGAGGCCCATCTTATTGACAGCCCAGGTGATGATTAATCTCCACCTCCGCCGTCAACCACAGGCGAACGCCGATCTGGTCGCCGCCGCCAGTCGAGACCTCCACTGCATGCACCACATCCAGCACGATCTGCAACCATCCACGACGACCAACGCCACAGCCACGAGGATCTGCAGCCCTTTTTTTCCTCGGGTATATGTTAATTAATCAACTAATCCCAAATCGGGACGTAGAATCAATTGAGCCGGCCCTATTGCAGTGCACGCGCAATTACATAATACACCCCATCTATAATTTTTCCACAGTCACCCTTGTACTACACTACTACACCCTTATACTAGGTGTAGTAACAACGAATTTCCACCCTTAGATCTCATATCTTCTACGGTCCATATTTATTTAAAGGTACACTAAAAAAATTCATTTTTTTTGGACCAAGGGAGAGTAATTTGAAAATAGACTGGCTGTTTTTGAAAAACTTTTAGTGTGAGTTATGGTAAGGGAATGCTTTGTGATTGTGCGCGTGATGGTAAGTGGTAACAGCTTTTGAGGATCTCCAACATGAGATATGACCAGGTACGTAGAAGTTCTCCATCGCGCCTTTCTCCTAAAAGTACTGTATTTTTCTAATGGCGAGCATCCAAGCAGCATGATGTAATAATTCCAAATGTTATAGAATTACTGAGGATTGAACAATAAATGACACACTAATCCAGTGTTTTACTAATGTATTATTTTTTTTAGAATTCCATGTTTTAAAGAGGCTAGTGGTACGATGGGTTTAAATCCTAGTGCCCACAAATATTACAAACATGCAAGTGAGCTTTCAATGGAGATGTACCGTTGGTTTCAGTCTCTTAGAGCATATGTACGAGGATGCATTCGGAATGTAAGTGTTGCATTGGTGTTGCATTGTGTATGTAGTGGTGTGTGCGCGCGTGTGTCTACCGTATAATTAAAACAAAAAAGAGGCTAAAAGGATTTTTGAACAAAAGATAGATGGATTAAATCCAAAGATAAAATATGTTGTGAAAAGGTTTTGATTTTGGGGATATTGTATCGAACATTTCCATAAACATCTTTACATACACAGACACACAGTCCTTTTCTTCTCAAGGACAATTTAGACAGTGCTAGGGACCAAAGACAATGCAATGGAATTTCACAAGCAATCATACTAGCAACAGCATGCATGAACAATACACCTAAAAGCATTAACTGAGGCAAAAAAAAAAATGATGGGCTTTATTTAAGGAGTCTGTTCATTTTGTATGTACGGTATAGCATGGTATGAATATATACATTATCATGAAAATGAACTTTACCAGTGAAATAACTAATTTAGCCGTCCAGGGAAGAGATATAACTATAAGCTTAAATAGCTTTCGGAGCAAAAATATTACTGACAATAATCGGAAGCCAAAAGAAAGAAAAATGTCTGAATTCAAACCTAAGAAGTTAACGACTAAGATAGCTAGTCACCTTTGTAAGTTGTCAAGGGCTCGTATCTTCAGGGTTTTGAAGGTACCCATGAACCGTTAACTGATATCCTCTTGAAGTTGATGGGGAGTTCTGATTAGAGGTTTCAGGGATTCCATGATACTGGCAAAAGACGGTCGTCGCCAGGGTTCTCTGCAAATAAAAATAAAATATTCATCAAACCAACTTGGCTACAAGTTGTGAGAAGAAACATATAACAGTATATTATAGATACTTTGTCCAGCAGGATTCCATTATTGCCGCCACTTTTGGATCAACGCTACTTGGAATTTCAAGCCTTCGCCCATTAAAACCAACAGCTGCTACAACCTGCAAGTGAACAGGTAGACTTTGTTCAATTCAGTTCGTCCGAAGTTGGAAAATATCCGTGTGATGAAGAAAACAGGAGATACAAACCTGAGCTGGATTCAAAGTACTCCATGGTTGTTGCAATGTCATGAGCTCCCATAGGATAACACCAAAGCTGTAGACATCAGACTTCTCATTTGATGGCTCATCTCGTATAACTTCTGGTGCCATCCACTCAGGCTAGAGAATATTACATCGAAAGCACTTACTAGCACGATTTAGCTGAAAAAAAATCAACAAATAAAAGTAACGGTAATATGAACTTACAGTCCCTGCTGCAGTCTTGGAAGACAAAAATGTGTTTGCCTTCAATCTGGAGAGACCAAAGTCACAGACCTGCAGCATTGTAGGGGAAATTTGTTGTTAGTTGGAGATAAGATTAAATAGGGAACAACTGCCAATTATATTAGAAAGAAAGATAATCCTAATGATCATAACAACTATACCCATTCAAGTAGAAAAAATAATAATAATAAAGTACCACATAGAGTAATTGAAGATAAAGTTTTCTCATAAAAGGGGAAACGCCATTGGTGTGGTGGCGGAGTCATGGGTGCATGATTCCACCCACTAGAGTTCAAATTCTGGTGTCCACAAATATGGCCATGTGCATCTTTGGTTAAAAGGGGAAAAACCATTGGTGTGGTGGCGGAGTCATGGGGCAGAGGCCGGAAGTTATACTTTGTCCAAAAACAAAGTAGAAAAAATAACAAAAAGTACCACAAAGAGTAATGTGAAATCAAACAGGTCTTAAAATATGGCAAAATGGGTAAAAGGATATACCTTCACAGTGTACTTTTTATCAACCAACAGATTTGGTGACTTTAGATCCCGGTGGACTATAGGAGGATTGCGCTTGTGAAGGTAATTCATCCCCTTAGCCTGGATACGAAGGTACACAAAATCAATGATTTTTATAAAGAAGCACCTACAATTTTGATTCTACGGTCAACCTTTACTTTATATAAAGCATATGTCCAGTCATTCTGTTAGACCTAAATTCTGTATTGAGATAAGTATATATGATTTTACCACGTCAAAAGCCATACTCAATCGCCGCTTCTCATCTAGATTTTCCCTTGCACCATGCTTGTGCAAAATCCTGTATAGGCTACCTCTGCATTCAAGAAAAAAAACTTATGTGGGAACTACAAGCTAGACTAGAGGTAAGCACATAGTTTACATCAATTTTGAAATAGTAATCAGAAAGTTCAACACACCTTGATAGATATTCTGTCACAATCGAAAGTTTTGGTGGCTGAGTAACAGCACCCATAAAAAGGACAATGTTTGGATGGCGCAGACTTTTCATAATTGCAACCTACAGAGGAGAATACCTAACATGTTAAGTGACATGGACATTACATGATTAAATCAACTTATACATGTGACCTTGAATGGGGCAACATCTTAACATTCTCTGTTAAAAAAAGAAAGAATACTGGGCATTAACTTTGTTGCAGAGGAAAGATCAGTTCAGAAGCATCTAGTCATGCACATCGTTGTATAACATGTCCATTATATGTAGGAAAATTCAAAGCGCTGCTGCTTTCATCCCTATCAGATTTGGTAGTCGCAAAGGAAGACCAATATAAATTGTCCACTGGAAATTCTGATGTTATACCTCCCTAAGAAATTCTTTGAGACGCTCTGGGTGGAAGTCTTGCTCCATCAAAATCTTTACAGCAACATCCTGAGACATGAAAGGCAAGAGTGTTAATTGAGCTCTCCTATCCTCAATTCCTCACATGAAGAATAAGTACATAACTGTGGGACGGTTGAGTGTTTCAGGTTATTGAAACAACATTTGTTAACATCTCTCCTAAAATCATATATTGGCACACCAAAAAGGAAATACAGGAGGCGTAGTTGTATGCAGTACATGTTAGACCGGTCACTATTCAAGTAGTAACTTGTAACACATAAGCACACTGTAAAATGTGCTTGTAATAAAAAGAGACATACCGAGCCATTCCAATCCGCACGGTGCACGGTTCCAAATGAGCCTGTCATTTTTCTCAATTAGTGCACACTACAAAAATATCAAAATCTGGAAATAGGCAGCTTCATGATCATTCATTAATTTTCACAATGTGAGGTCACGGATGTCCAAAATATTCAACTTGTTCACCTTCGCAAAATATGTGTAAAATAAAAACTGCATGCTATTAATTTGCCTTGCGCCTTGTTCTAGCCTTGTGCATAACTGTGGTAAAACTCTAGTGAAGAAGGCACCTAGTTCTAGCCTTGTGCCTTGGATGCGCATACCGAACTTTCAGTAATTTGTGGTTTTGTACAAGATTGGCCCTATTTAATATCATGCATTGGTACTATAATCCATGGAGTTAATTGCAAATATTCTTTGTAGTCTCACACTAAACGTTGTGGTTAACTTTCATTAATAACATGCTTATGTAATTAGTAGGGTTAGAAGAGGCTAAATGATACAAAAGAATGCCCAATGTCACTCTTCATTGTACTTGCTCATGTAAGCCAGAACAACTTGCTTTATTGATTGGAGGTTGTATGTGGTATAGAGATTTTTTTTTTTTTTAAAAAAAAAAGCTAAGCCAGAACAATTCGTTTTGTTGATTGGAGGTCATGTGTAGTATAATAGAGATAAAAAAAACTAAGTACATCGTACAAAAACACTATTAAAAAACAAAAACGTACCAGCTCCAATTTTCTCTTTCAAAACAAGTTCACTCCAAGGAATAATCAAGTCTTCAATGTCGAGAGATATATCACTGAAGGGGTCACTTTGTGCAGATTGTGTATCCTCAGGAGAACTGAAATATTCATCAGTATTATCAACTTTGGATGATGGAAAGTGGAAATAACTATAACAATTTTTAGGGAGGATCCTGCTGATGCACCTCTTCTGAATAAGAAAATTGCCATCTTGACCACTGGACTGGGCACCACGACTACGATGTGAAAAGTTAGCTTGAAAATCACTGTTTGTTGCAGGCGATAAGTTTGGACCAATATTTGATCCCATGGCCTCATCTAAGTCAACAACCGTCCCTGAAACTATTCAAAATAGTAAAAGACACAATCTTTTGAAAAGATCTTAAATATTTTTTTTAGTCCTGCTTTCTGAAATTCCAATTCAAGAATTGAAATAGTGATGATAAAAAATATCAATTGGTCAGTTACTCAGTTTGCTTGCTTAGAATAGTAGGCAGTTCATTTTCCATCTTTTCTTTTAAAACTTTTGAAGACCATTCAGGAGAAAATGACTAGACCTGAATTGTGAAACTACAGCTAAGAACTATTGTAAACCATACTATTTCATCCAAAAAAGTTTTAAGTTTTAACATCTAAAATGATTGTGCTGAAAGATTGTTGCCTATATCAAAACTAGATGTCAATGACATAAAGTTTCTCCCAGCAAAAAAAAATCTAAAAACTATCTATTTGAACATAGAACACAACATGCTCACAGCAGCATCAGCTGTTAATTTTAAAAGTTTAATAATGTCAAAATCTCTTCCTATACAGATCAGCCCATTTGAGATATTACTATTAATATCACATCATGTGAAGAGTACTTAAATAAATAGTATTTAGAAGACAGAAAAGTATGATCTGACCTGCTGCTGGATCATTGAACATCATATTTAGCGATTGGCAATCAAGGAAATATTGCTTCGCCAATGACTTGAAGTTATTAACAATATCAGCTGAATTGTATTTTGGTGGGCGCAATGGTGAAGAAACTGAAATGGATGAGAGCCCATTTAAGAGGGAGTCAGGTTCAGATAAGAAGCCTGGGTTCCCTATCAAATCAATCAGATATTCCCTGATACCAAAAATAAAATAGAAGTCAAGAAGTGATTAGATGCTATTTCAACATTGAAAACTGGAGAGTGTAAAAGAACATAGAAAACTGGAAAAATAAAGAATATTCGGAGCAAGATTGTACAGATAACTTGAGAACATAAGTTCCATTTATATTTTTTCCATTTTCACATTTATAACAATGTTATACCCTCTTTCTATGACATTGTTAGATCAGACAAGGAATGTAATTGGTGTAACTGGGGCACAATTCTTTCTTCATATTCTCTCTCTTTTTTAACCTTTGATGACCCAAAATCTGTAGAAATAGTGCAAGTCATTCATCAGGATTACAAACCTGTCATTACCAAAGTGCACCAGGCATGAAGCAGCACCAGCAGATTTGCAGTACCTGCATCCCCTCACAACTCGACATGGGAGACTGATAGTGTCTGCTAAGGTCTTTCCCCACCAAAGAAAACAGAATAGGATTATTATCAAAAACAAATTGAAGAGACAAGAGAGTATCAGGACTGGCAACTAAAATGAAATAGGATCATAAGAAACTGATCTTTTAAAGTAGTGCAGCTCCTATGTATGCTTGTGAGTGCATCAATATCACTATAATTCACCATCTAATGTATTTTAGGGCAATCAGGAATATTGCATGATGAGCTTTGTAAAATCATAAAAACAAAGTTCCAGCGCTAACATGGAAAATATTGCCACTAAATACGAAGATTTAATAGATTTTAGAACATAGCGATAGAAGCAAGGTGACCTTAAACAGCAACGATCGGTGCCGGCAAAGACCGATTGATAACTTCCCAATTGGAAGCACAACAGAACCTGAACTAATCTTCAGGAACCCGGCAGAGTCTCTCCACCGGGGACACAGTTCATGTTCTTCGGTAGATGCTACGGAACCCCTTCAACATTAGTGAGACACATGTAAGACAGAGAAAATGTACCAAAAGTGGCAATTTCCTTATCAACTCCCAGTCTCTCACCCCATCTTTGAGGACACAATGCCAGCAAGGCGAGTGGTGATTTCCCTTGAGTCAGCGCGGCTCCGAGAAACGTCAATCGCCGTGCTTATCAGTTGCCTCAGATCATAGTCGACCACCCTATCTATGAGGACCACCTCCACGGATGACTCGGTGGGATTCATAGCCTTGAGCGACTCGATCGAGGGCACTCGGGCGCCATCGCGCAAGTCATTGCAGAGCGTCCATACGAAGGGATCCATCCCATGAATGAGGTAGAAGCCATCCAGGACCTTGTCGGAGTAGGACAAGCTGCCATTCACCTGCCAAGACAGCGAGATGGTCACTTGGAGAATCGGTATACATCTTTCGGTGAACTGGTGTGTGCGCGCGGTGAGTGCGAACCCAGAAGCGATGCGAGAGGGATTGGGGCGAGGGCGCGTCGCGGTGGTGGTCGTCGGCCGCCGCCACGGCGGAGTCGAGGAAGTTGGGGTCGGGGGCGGTGGAGGCCTCGGAGCAGAGACGGAGCGCGAGGGCGAGCTGGAGCTGGTACGCCTCCTCCGCCTGCTGCGCCCAGCTCTTGCTGCCGCCGCCGCCGCTGCTGCCGGCCGGGCGATCGGCGGGGTCGCCGCCCTTGTCGGCAGTGGCGAGGGTGGAGACGGAGGAGAAGCCATCCCCGTCGTCGCCGGCGCTGCTCCCGCTCGAGTGCCGCTGCAGCCGCAGCCAGTCCGCCACGCCGAGCCCGCGGGACGCGTCGCCGTCGTCGCAGTGCGGCGAGCCGCCACCGTTGCCGATGCTGGCGGGCGGGGAGGTGGCGAGGAGGCTGTACGCCACGGCAGCGGGCGCGGCGGGCGGAGGCGCAGACCCTGGCGAGGCACGCCTCCCGCCGCCGCCGCCGCCGCCGAGCACCATCGCGGGCCACTTGGCGTCGGCCTTCATCGTCTACCCGCGCTGCTGCGTCGTGGCGGTGGCGGAGTTGCGCTGAAGTCGCATGTGCGGGAGAGGCGATCGAGGCGTGGGCGTGGGCGTGGCCGCGTGGGTGGGGATTCCTTCGCGGACGGAGTTGTCGAGACGGACGGCATGGCCGCATGACAAGGAGGGGAGAAGGGGAGGAGAGGGGGGGGGGGGGCCGGGGGCGGCAAGCGCACGCGCGACGCGACACGGGCAGAGAGATGGCGGGGGGTGGGCAAGTGGGGGCGCGGGCGCCCCCATTTGCGCAGTGCCTCCGCTCCGGTGCACTGCATTTGCGCGATGGCGACGAACCTCCCGCACTCCGGTGCATTGCATCTGCGACGGCGACGAATTGGAGATTTGGAGTGCACGGGGGGCCACGTCCACGAGTCCGCCACGACCCCCACGACCACTTGCTCTCCCTCCCGGCGGACAAGTGCAGTCCAAATATTCGAAATTACGTCGTTATCAAAATAGGGTTAATCGGATATATACCATTACAAATTTACTAGTTTTGAGAAATATCATTACAATTCACCTAATTGGAAATATGCCATTACAATTCTGCTTATGTCTGAGACATGCCATTTTCTACACCCTGTAGATCCTTGGACCCACATGCAGACCATTGTAATTTCGTATAGCCCAAAATGCCCCTGTCTCCACCTCACTGACATATGGGCCCTGTCTTCCGTTTGTTCTCTCCCACAGCCGAGTCTTCTCCTCTTCTCTTCCGCGTCGAGCTCCGAGGCCGCCGGCCAGCCGCGCTGAACCATCATCCCCTCCCGAGCTCCAACACCGCTGGCCACCTACTTGCCCGACGCCGCTGGCCACCTGCTTGCCCGACGCCGCCGCCCAGCCCCCCCCCCTCCCAGAGCTCCGACGCCGCCGCGCCGAGCTCTCCGCCGCTTTTCTCCTCCTTCCCGGCATGCTAGATGAAGCGGCACAAAGGGCGGATCCGGCGACCACCTCCCGCCCTACCTTGGAGAGCTCGTCGACCACATTGAGCTCTGATGCCGCCGCCGACCAGAATTCCAACCCCCATCACCGAGCTCGCGCTTGGATCTAGCGAGGTGGCCGGACTCCATGGTGGCGGCAGGTGGTGGGATGGAGTAGCGCACGGGGATGGGGCGTGGAGGTCGCCGTTGCCGTCGCCATTCCCGACTACTAGCCACGCCAGCCTCCTCGGGGGGAACCACGTCTGCTAGTCGCCGTCGCCGATCCCGCTACCATCCTCCTCCGTCACTTCCGCGTCCTCGCCGTCGCCACCACCTGCAACGCGCTCGGTGGGGCCGATGGTCTGCCACTAACAAGGCCGCAACTGGCCCACAAACGGCGGAAGCTAGGGCGGTGGCGGTGGCGCAAGCGGAGGCTGGGGTGTGCGACGGCTGTGGTAGTTGAGGCGGACAACGGCGGCGGATGCTATGGATGAGGCCCACAACAGCAACGGAGGCGGAGGATGTGGCGCACGACGGCAACGGCGGAGACTGCGGCTGTGATGGGTGATGATAGCAATGATGGAGCTTGAGGATGAGGCCGGCGACAACGATAGAAGCTGGAGGATGGAGGTGGAGTTGGAGGAAAGGGCATTTTGGTCCTATATGAAAATACGGTGACCAAAAACGTTTTAAAAATTGTCCCATCTACATAGAATGGCATGTATCTAATTCTAGGTTCTTGCAGTGGCATGGTTCTAATTATCGAATAGTAATGGCATATTTCAAAACCACAGAAATTATAATGGCATGAATCCAATTAACCCATCAAAGAATAAGGCTGTTTTCTATAATTGGATCCATTTCATTAAAAGTTTCATAGTTTTAAAATATACTATTACTCCCTCCGTTTCACAATGTAAGTCATTCTAGCATTTCTCACATTCATATTAATGTTAAAGAATCTAGATAGATTTATGTGTCTAGATTCATTAACATCAATATGATGTGGGAAATATTAGAATGACTTACATTGTGAAACGGAGGAAGTAGTATTCATCTATTTAAAACCATGTCATTATACAATTATAGATGAATTTGAAATATGTCATTACATATCCCTTTCGCTGCATTTTCTATCCTTTTGAAGGACCAAATTGCTCCTTCATTCATCCGCTTCTTCCTTCCTTGATCTCTCTCGTCGGCGAAGGGGTCCAATAGATTGTGATGTTGATGGTGACCGTCTCGTCGGCGCCAAGGGACCCGACGTCACAGGGCACACAAGTCTGAGGGAGCTTGGCATTCCTCTCGCTAAGCCCGCCGTCCTAGCAACTCCCCACTATCGAGCCCACCGCCCATGCGCATCCCCATTGCCGAGTCTGTCGCCCCTACGAACACGAGCAGAGTGATAATGTGCAACACATATTCAATATACCTCAAAATAAAACTTTTCACATTCCATTCATCATCGACGAAGTGAGCAGCTGTTGCCATGTCTTCTTTCTTTTGATGATTTTTTGTCCATAAATCAGTAGTAGTGGCAACACGGCTTTGAGGCTTGTATAAATAATTAGTGATAGCAACCTTGTTAACCCAAATAACTCAATGATATCGTTCCTAACTGTGTTTTTGGACAGAACTTTGGACAATGGTTGCAATGCACCATGAAGCCTTCGAAAACTAGCATGGTCTACAATAGTAAGTGGTAATCATGGAGACATATCATTAGTGCAAGTTTTTTCCTAGCAACCACTTGATCAAAGACATATTTTCTTATGGTAACCCTCCTTTTCGTATTTGTTCCTATCTTCAAATTGGATTGATTTAAACCTTTTCTAGCCAGCCTAGACTTGCAAGTTTTAATGTAGTCTAACCAATTTAGTCTCGTTCTACTTTCTGATCCAAGCTTGTTGTGACACCATTTCCATTTAGTTTTTCATACACCATTAATTTTCTTACTAACAAAATCTTACCATGCTATAGATTTCAGCCTCTTATTCTCATATTCTTGTTCTAATTATGCACCTTGTGAATCCATAGGTTGTTCTTGTTGTTCGATACTTGGAGCATCGTTTGGAGTAGAACACGGAGTAGAAGTTGGTGTCAATGCAGCCAAAGACTCCTCGGTGGCAGCAGGGTTCGGCATTTTGTCAAAAAAATGATGTTCAAAACATGGATCAATCAAACATAAATATCTCTAAGTACTACCTCAATATCCCATGCTACAAAGTTTATGTTCTGCTCGGAATCTAAAATGTACCGAACAATGTAAAACTACCTCAAGTGCAGTACCAAATCATGTTCTATGTCATGGGGATGTTACCAACTAATGAAAGAACACATTCAGAAATATAAATTGACAAATACCTCCTCGGTGCATGAATGCTTTGCTCGCTTGTGCGCCTACTCGCCTACTGGCTGGCCATCCTACTCGCTTGAGCGTCGCCCCGCTCGCCACCCTGCTCATAGCCCTGCTTCGTCCCGCTCGCAGCTGGCATGCCACCCAGCTTGCCACCTGCGAGAACCATAGTCCATAGATGCCCGCCTACGCCCATCACCGTCGTTGGTTTGCTTGGCCGCTGGTCGCCCGGCACAACGACGTGGGGAGACCGGAGGCTGGACCATGGGAGCGGCCATGTGGTGGTCGGTGCCCATGGATGCGTAGAGTCGTGGAGAGGAGAGGAGAGGAGAGCACATATGATGGCGGTGGCTGTGAGGAGAAGTGCATGGAGGGTTGGAGGCTATGATGATAGGGTTGTTAAGATGCTGAGTTAGGTTTTAGCTTTTATATCCCACTATTACTCCATGTTGGGCTTCTTGGGCTTGCAATGAGCTGTATTTTGAGGGGTATATACCTCCTTCGGGGCACACAGGTGGATTTGCTAGACACTTGAGACGTGTGTGGTGGAAAGAACTAGAAGAACGTGCACGCTCTTGCTGCCTCGCCTTGCCTGGTCAGGCAGCACGCGTACGCGACACGCTCATGGATGGTTCGCCAAAATTGAGGAGAGGCAGCTTCCTTTTGCAGTTTTGTTTTGCTACGAAATTCGGTGTTTGTTTTTTTGGAAATATAGTTTTTCACACATATTGAATATTCTGATGCGTGGAGCGGCGTAAAGTCCGAATAGGTTACACGCGACTTATCTGATTCGGTTACGCATTATGGAGATCATGCAGGCGCCCTGATCACTCTTCTTGTTATCTCTATATAAACCGAGTCGTCGTCTCCTCACAACACACGTGAAAAACTGTCTAGGGTTTGCCTCCTCCTTTGTACTGTGTCGTCGCTCGTAGTCTACTCTGTCTCGCTCACCAGCGTGCACTGGCGATCGAGAGAGTGGGTTTCCGAAACCTTCACCTTTGACGCTCTGCATCGGGATAAGGTGCTAATAAGGTTTTTAGGAAGCACTTCGCGCGACTGCTTGCTAGTCTTCCACGATGGCTCGTCTTCATCTACACGGATGTTGCGTGTCGTCATCAACATCCTATACCACGCCGTTGTTCATGTGGTGTGTGTTACTCCCCACCCTTGGCAAACCGATCCTCTTCTGCAGCAGAACTAGAATTGTTGGTATGTTTCGACCATGTTCTATATATTCGATCTATTCGTGTGTAGATGTCTCGTATACATGTCTAGATCACGTGATTCGGTTATGCTAGTTTACTTGTTTAATGTCATGATCTATTTACGAAATAAATTAAATATACATGTGTTTATATTTCCAACAGTTCCAACTATGAGGATGATGTTGTGGACGGTTTGGAACTTAAAGTGACATGCTAGCCATGGTAACTAGGGAAGCACGGACCAACCCGCGAACCCGCTTGTAGATAAAATTAGTGGGTAACCCTACTAATTTGACATATAAATGGGTTTATGGGTCGACTCACTTGTATCTCTAGATGCGGCAAGCTGGTCCACGACGTGGAACCCACTGGTTACCACTTATTTTACATACTAGGTGAAACCCTGCGTTGCTACGAGAGTTTACTATGATAAAAATAATGTGTAATATAGCTTAAACAACATAAGTTGATGTGATTTAAATTTAAGTTGTATATAGAATGATGATTCAAATATAAAAATAAAGATGATGTGGCTTTATGAGAGAATAAAAGAAGGAAGATAATTTAGACCATATATCTAAGGGCTTAAAAAATTGAGATGATATGGCTTAATGAGATAAGAAAATGATAGATAATTTGAACCATAGATTAATCATCTAAAGACTAAAAACAATTAATGCGATATGACTTAATGAGAAATAACATTAATTAAGTGAGGATGAACTATATAGGTATATAAGATATTATAAAAAAATGATAGAGAGATATATTGAAATATTATATGAATTGTGTGGGATGATTTTACATGCTTACATTTTAAATCTCTAAAATTTAATAAATTATACAATTATAGATAATATAGCATTCTTGCATATTGCTTAACTGTAATACTACTAATTATTAGTGGATGATTATGTAACATATTTGAATTTTAAGTTTTAAGAATCATAATTTTAAGTTTTAAGAATTACAGGGTTATAAATTGGGAAAAATACGAATTACCCCCTGAACTATCGCGGTCGACCAAATTACCCCCTAAATCACAAAACCGGACATTTTACACCCTTAACTAGTTTTACCGGACAAATAACCCCCTAATCAATCCGGAGTGGTTTTACGCCTACGTGGCAGTCTAATCAGCAATACTTTTTATTAAAAAAAAGTCAGTGGGGCCCACCTGCCAGATTCTATCTCCTCTCTATCTCTTTCCTCTCCCACCTCTCTCTATCTCTCTCACGCCGAAGGCCGACGAGGAATCCACGCGCCGACGGAGGCCGAGAACGAGCGGCGCGCCGGCGGCTGCGAGCCTCCTCGCGGCAGAGGCCGAGTATGAGGCGCGCGCCGGTGGACGCCGGCCAGTCAAGCTCACGAGCTGGGCCTCAGCGCCGGACTTGTGCAAGAAGATGGCGATGGTCGATGAGCGGCAGCCAGCGCCGGACTTGCGCGAGAAAATGGCGAGCGCGGCGGCCGGACTCATCGTCTTGGAACGACACCCACAAGAAGATGGCGAGTCTGCATGTAGTTTTCCTATTTATGTTGATAACAAACCAGAAAAGTAGCAGCAGCAGTACGCGGCACCAAAATCTCGTCTTCCTCCGTGTACTGATTTGATCCAATCTTCTGAGTGTTTGTTGGCAGCTAGAAGTAGGTTGTTAGGATTTTCCGGGCGTGGCTGACAAAGTGTGAGAAAGCACGACAGCGGCAGCGGGCTCGTCACTGCCTGCGCGCGAGCTCCGGCTCCGCCGCCGTTGCATCCGCTTTCGCCCGAGTTCCACCGTTGGCCGCCAGGCGAGCGCATGCAGGAGTGCTTCGGCCGACAACGTGCTGCTGTGCCGACAAGGAGGAGGACGCCCGGCCGGCGAGCTTGACGGGCTTGCCGCCGCCGCCCGAGCTCCGCCGTGCGGGAGTACTTCCGCTACCGCGTAGCGACTTGCTGCGATGTTATGCCGACAAGGAGGTGGAGGCCCGGCTGGCGAGCTCGACGGGCTGGCCGCCGCCGCGTGCTTCAGCAGCATCCCCTGAGCTCCACCGATGGCCGACGGGCGAGCGCATGCAGGAGTTCTTCGGCACAGCGCGGCGAGATAGAGAGAGGGGAAAGAGATAGAGAGGAGAGAGAATCTGTCAGGTGGGCCCCCACCGACTTTTTTAATAAATAATTGCTGTCTAGACTGTCACGTAGGCGTAAAACCACTCCAGATTGATTAGAGGGGTTATTTGCCCGGTAAAAATAGTTGATGGTGTAAAATGTCCGGTTTTGTGGTTCAGGGGGTAATTCGGTCGACCGCAATAGTTAGGGGATAATTCGTACTTTTTCCTTATAAATTTATAGTAAGAGATAATAAGTAGGTTCGTGGGTAAGCCCGTTTGCATCTCTACGTGTAACCACCAATAATAGGTATACCTATTGTTGATGGTTTTAACTATGAGCTATACCAGAAGCGTATGGTATATTTGAATCTGTAGACCTTTTAGGTGACGTGCATATATAAGAGAAATAAATTAAAATAATGTTGTACTTCTAATACGCTTAAAGCATTATATACGGGCATAATTAACATGCGCCGATTTTCTAGTTTATTATGTGGGCCAGTTTCGTACTTCCTGGTTAAGTAAACTAGCCGCAATGTCGACTTTCCAATCCTCATCCGTTCAAATTGAGGTGCACCGTAATGTCTACTGCGCAACCCGCTCGATCAGTAACGAACTGATGAGCTGAGCTTGGAAAAGGAAAAAGGCCGAAAGGAGATACTCCGCAGTACTCCCTCCGTTTTAACACCATTGACTTTTTAAGTACATATTTAACCGTTCGTCTTATTAAAAAAATTTGTGAAATATGTAAAACTATATGTGTACATGAAATTATATTTAACAATAAATCAAATAATATGAAAAGAATAAATAATTACTTAAAATTTTTGAATAAGACGAATGATCAAACACGTACTAAAAAGCCAACGGTGCCAAACATTTTAAAACGGAGCGAGTATAAAGCAAGTCAAAGCATCCGCCGACATGTGATTAAACACTTACAACGATTATTTGACATTGAGCAGAGGTCGCTTTTACATACTCCGCACAAAGTCAAACCACATCCATAACACCATAACCAACACGCCGCTTCAGTTTAGCTTTATCGACGTATTCTTCTTCTTCAAACGCATCCAGATGACTTGCGCATTGTTTGACAAGTGTTCCACAGCAAGAAAGACAGAGATTCAGCAATGCAGATTGCAAGTGGCTTTTCAGTAGTCACCATGTTCATAAATAAATTTCAGAATATCGCAGCAGCCTTTGAACTGGTGATCGGCAAACCAGTTGGGCACTTGAGCGTGTCTGCAAACCGACCAAGCATTGGTCAACTGAAGTTGAATCGGCGAGCGTGCAGTTGGTAGCTCGCCCACTGGGGCAGCTACAGCTGCTGCAAACTGCATCTGCAAAATACTCCTAGAACAGGTAAGCTGCACACAGGTGAGCATTGCAGGGGGGAGCAGGCTAGTCTGGATAATGCAAATGTCAACGGAGACTGGTATGAAACAATTGAATTAACACAACTGCATCTATAAAATGAGATCTATCTTGGACCTAACAACAGCAAGATCGGCAGAAGATCTCCAAGCTACTAGTAGCATGGACTCTTTGCGTGTGTTGATAACTGATAAAGTGTAGAGTTCCAGAAGTTGACTAACTTCAAACAAATTTCTTTCAATAACATGACAAATATTACTTGGTCCATGGACTCGTGGAGAGCCGGTGCGTGGTAAGCGGCAATGCCAACGTCCAACGGTTGGGTTCTTCAGATTAGTCAGACAAAGTCGAGGATAAAGTGCATGATTGAAGAAAAATATGAGGATCAGTGTGTTTCCTTCAACTGTGAACTAAAATATGAGCTATGCAGATAGAACAAACTGAACCGAGAAGATTGTTCCAAAACAGCAATGCATTTATACACAAAAAATAATAGGGCTCCCAAAATAATATTGTAGTTTCAGTGTCACTACCCTAAGATGATAAGATTCTACTTACTACCAGGCAAGCTTTCTTTGACTTGCTGAATCAGCACCATGGCAGGCGTTGAACCACTTTGACAAAAGAGGGGAAAAAAGCCCGTGACTTTGCATCAATTCAGTGCCACATGCAAAATTGTAACAGCTCATATGCAGCCTGAATCGCAAACGCCAAAGAAGAAACAATAACCTTGTTTGTTCGATCTCCCCATCAGAAGGATTTTGTTTTGTATTTTGACATGTGGAAATTCGAGACGATAGTGCAATTCCGAAAGAAAAAGGACAACCTATCAAACTCAACGGGCCGTTTCCAAATTTGCTAGTGAATGCAATATGTCGGGAAACAAGTCAACCCAAATATTGTATTCTGTATGTATGGTTGGTATCAAACTAACCAGTATCGCATTTGTCTGTTTGGGCCAACATGATTACAATAGCACACTGCTACACTGAAGAAATGGTAGATTAGTAGGTAAGACAAGTACAAATTGTTTGTTGGAATATCCAGATGTGTGCTTGGACCAAACCAAAATTACATTTTGCCCTACATAATCAAATACTACCAGTGAATGCAATTTCAGAATGAAATTTCATCCCCCGCCAGCAAGCACATATTTCGCCCGAAATTTTCGGGTTTTTTTTCCATTTTTTTTGAAACTGGTCAAAAAAAAATTCAAATTCATTCGAAATTCGTCAAATTTTCAAAAAAAAAGGGGGCCAAAAAAGTACCGAAATTTCAGAGATTTTGGTTCTTTTGGCCACCCCCGGCAAAAATCACAATGTTGAGATTGCTAACCCTGACTACTACAGCACCCAGCTTGATGCATGGCTGAAAAGCCACTTTATCTTGTTATTATGCAAACTATGTGGTTTAGACTGTAGAGATTGCCAAAATTAACAAGTGACCAACACCATATCCTTTAACCTTTATCGATTTGTGCAGAAAGAGAACTATAATTAATAGTAACAAAGAGGGAGGGGAGGGTTCGCGAACCAGTAGAAAACGGCTCTCTTTGCCCTGAGCACGTTGCTCCCGTTCTTCATAAGGATTGGGTTGCTCTGCCCGGTGAGTGCGCGCCCCTCGTGCGTGTGTAGCCTATCTCCTTTCTTCTAGTCGGCGTGCACGCGATCACGCCGCACTTTTCCAACTGCAACTAGTATAGCAAATGCAGTGAGAATTATAAATAAAATCGCATGCTTTTCCAAGTGCAAGTAGGCAAATGCAGCGAGGATTATAAAATTGCATGGAATGGAAGGTGAGCGAAAGGAATACTGAATACATAAACAAGCAAAAACACGATCCATCAGAGCGTCCGGCCTGTGTGCTCGCTTCTCGACCAGTGCTGATTGACCAACCAAAACCTCCGATCACCTTGTCCCGTACTGAAAATGCTCCGTTTTTGACTTGTGCAGAGTTCACTATCGTTGCCACGACCATGGTGACGATGGCATCACACTCCGCCATTGCAATGGACAGATAAATATTCCCCCCTCAAGCTCTTTGTCTTCTCCTGCTCCTCCCGATCCCAATCCGCCATTGGTGGGCGCCAAGCTCAGCTCGTTGCTCTTCTTCTTCTTCTTCTTCTTCTTCTTCTTCCTCACTCGCTGCCCACTCATTGGGAAAAATCCGAGCTCGGATTGAGGTTTGTTGGTAAGACGGACAGCCATGGAAGCGGTGAGGTGTTTTGTGGTGTTGTGCGTGGCTGTGGCGGCGGCGCTGGCTTCTTTGGGTGGCGGTGCGGTTGATGCGGCGGCGGCGGCGGCGGCGGCGCAGGAGATGCGGCGAGGCTTCTCGGCGGCGCACGACCGGTCCTACTCGCAGTTCGAGCAGGTGCTGTCCGACCCCACCGGCGTCTTCGCCCTCGGCTTCCTCCGCGTCAACTCCACCATGCTCGACCTCGCCGTGGTCCACCTCCCGTCCTCGTTCCCGCTCTGGAGCTCCATCCCCGACCGCCCCGCGCAGTGGTCCGCGCCCGCTTCGCTCTCCTTCGACGGCGACCTCGTCCTCACCGACCCCGCCGCCAACAAGGTCCTCTGGTCCGCCGGGGCCGCCGCCGGAGCCGGCGGCGACCGCGTGGTGCTCCTCAACACCTCCAACCTCCAAATCCAGAGCGGCGGCGGCGGCGGCGACGGCGGCTCGTCGCCCGGTATCGTGTGGCAGAGCTTCGATGCCCCATCGGAGACCATCGTGCAAGGCCAGAACCTCACCTCCGCGGCGGCGCTCTACACCTCCGACCGCCGCTTCTCCATGCGGATGGGGACCAGCTACTTCGGGCTCTACATCGAGCCGCCCGCGTCGTCGTCCGGCGGCGGCGGCGTCGCGGCAGCGATGTACTGGAAGCACACGGCGCTGCAGGCCAAGGCCGCGATCGTGGACGGCGGCGGCCCGACGTACGCGCGCGTGGAGCCCGACGGCTACCTCGCCATGTACCAGAAGGAAGGGCCACCCGCCGAAGTCCTCTCCTTCGACACCTTCAACCATGGCGTGCGGGCGCTCCGCCGCATGACGCTCGAGGCCGACGGCAACCTCCGCGCCTACTACTGGGACAGCACCGGCTCCCGGTGGGTGCTCGACTACACCGCCATCACCGATCCGTGCGGCCTGCCAAGCACCTGCGGCGCCTACGCCGTCTGCGTGCCGCCCAGCGGCCGGTGCGCGTGCCTGGCCAACGCGACGGACGGCTCGGGATGCGCCGCCGCAAACGTCGGCGGCGGCGGCGGCCTCTGCGGCCGCACGGGCGGCGAGGTGGGCGGGCTGTACTGGGAGGTGCGGAGGCAGCGCGTGGAGCCGGCGAACAAGGAATTCCTGCCGTTCGAGCACTCGCCGTCGGCGGCGGACTGCGAGGTGCGGTGCGCGCGCAACTGCAGCTGCTGGGGCGCCGTCTACAGCAACGGCACGGGGTACTGCTACCTCATGGACTACCCGGCGCAGATGATGGTGGCCGCCGACGAGAGGAAGGTGGGGTACTTCAAGGTGAGGAGCCTGGAGGAGGCGGCGGCGGCGAGCGGGGGCGGGAGGGCGGCCGGTGTCAAGGCGGCGCTGCTTGCCGTCGGCGTGACGGTGCTGGTCGCCGCGGCCGCGTTCGGGGCGTACAGGGTGTGGAAGCGGAGGTGCCGGACGGCCGTGGACGCCAGGCGGCAGGTCGTCGCCGACGACGAGGGGCTCTCGCCGGGCCCGTACAAGAACCTCGGATCCTTCAGCTCCGTCGAGCTCTCCAGCTCCTTCCGGAGGTAGCCAGCCAGCCACCTGAGATGTGGTGTGATTGATTAGATCGATGAGATCGCTGGGAAACAGACGCCGTGGACGGAGAAGGCAAGGCAAAGGGCGGCGGCGGCGGCCGCTGATCGGAAGAGGCAGGCCCAAATTACGGTGGCGATGACTTGGGCTAGTGGGCTACTTCTGTTTTTGGAGGGAATGAGGGATGTCTCTTGTATGATTTCGGCCAGTTTTGATCTTTTCGTTAGGCCCATCATATTATCCTCGGGCCATTTTCTTTCCTGTACAAATTTGCCCCTCCATCTAAAAAAAGGAAATTTCTTCCATGCTATGGTGATTTGTGAACACATTGGTCCCCATCGTTTGGCTTATTTCTAATAAGCCAAAACGACTTATTAAAAAATAAAAATAAATTTATAGATGAAACTTTTATAAATGTGTTGTTTGTGACTTAAAAGCCAATGTTATAAAAGAAACTACGTTGAAAATATCTTAAAATCAATCTCAAAATTAAGTTTGAAAATTCAAAATTTGGCTTTTTTTAGGTGATTAGGCCATCCGATGGGAGCCATTATACCATCTCATCAAGTCATTATTATGCAAAATTTACCGTCAGATTATACATCATGCAAAATTGTAATGTCAGAATTTACACGGATACTCCCTCCATTTCAAAATATAAGACACAACCACCCTTGACCCAAAGACTAAAAAACAATTATTATCGCCTCTTTGTTTGAATCAATCCAACTAATACAATACATGAACCCAATAGAATTAAACATATTGTGAGTGTACATTTAAAAAACAATAATTTAGGAGAGGAGAGATGCTAATTAATTACTATGCATACATGCATGCATTATATTATAAAACACCTTTAAAAAGTAGTTGTGCCCTATATTTTGGAACGGAAGGAGTAACTGTTAATCTTGTCTTACCAACGTTAAAACACAGGGAGCTTAACTGATTAGTCTTGAGCAATTTTGAACTTAAAACACAGGGGGCTTGACTGATTAAATTCGGCAAATTTTGAACTCAAGGGGCTTAACTGATTAAACTAACACAGGGGACTTGACTGATTAATTAAACTTGGGCAAATTTTGAACTCAAGAATTGGCAGTGCTTGCTGCAAAGTGCGGAAGGGCCTAACTGCTAAAATAAGGGTAACTTATAAGAAATAAAGTGGTCTTTTATGCAAAAGCCGAGGAGCTGAACTGCAAAATCCAAGGAGCAAAATTTAAATTTGAAGAATTGGCAGGGGCCGCGCGAACGCGTACCCCCTCTACCACAAATTATGACGTCCACTCTCCCACTTGGGGAGATGGTAAGCCAGCGCACCCACCAAGTGCAATGTGGGCCACTAGCCTAGGCCATGACCCTTCATGATCGGCCATAGACCCCGTCCAGGTAAGTATGGAGCAACGGTGCACCTGGCCTTGGTTTTATAGCGTGCTCTCCCGCCCCAGCCTCCTCGAACAAGCGATGTGGTACTAAAAAAACGCTCCTGCGTGCTGCGGTTTGGAAGCCGGGGAATTCGAGTCCGGACACAGCATATGGGCCGTATTGTGTGCAGGCCTTCTCGTTTGGGCCAGATTTATACATACACCCCGAAGAGCAGCAGAAGAGAGTAAAAAGGAATAAGTTCACTTCATGACCCTCAAATGTGATCGAAATCTAATCCATGACCCTAAACTACAAAACCGGATATCTCGACCCCCAATCTCCTAAAAACGGTGCAATTTGACTCCCTGGGCAGTTTTGGGAGGCAGTTTTGCTGACGTGGCGCCTACGTGGCAATATTGACCGAGTCTTTATTACAAGTGGCGTTGACGTGGCACCTACGTGGCGGTAGAAATAAAAAATATGCGTGGGACCCGTTTGTCATTTTCACACATAAAAAATATGGGGGCCACTGACATATGGGCCCCACATGTCATCCTCCTTCCTTCTTCCTCCCTCTCTCCTTCTCTCTCTTTCCTCCCCTTCTTCGGTGTGGGGAGCGGCGGTGATGGTCGATGGCGGTGGGGACGAGGTGGTGGGGAGCGGCAGCTGTGGCGGTGGGGATGAGGCGGAAGGGAGTGGCGGCTGTTTCGGTGGGGACGAAGCAGTGGGGGGCGGCGGCAGTCGGTGGCCATGGGGACGAGGCGGTGGGGAGTGACATCTGTGGTGGTGGGGACGAGGCGGAGGGGAGTGACGGCAGGGAGCGGCGGTCAGGAGGAGTGGCGATGGTGGTGGGGACGAGGCGGAGGGGAGCGGCGACGGCTGTGGCGGTGGGGAGCGGCGGCTGTGGCCGTGGGGACGAGACGGAGAGGAGCGGTGGTAGCTGTGGGTGTGGGGAGCGGTTCTCCGGCGAGTGTCACGCTCATGGCGCTGATCGACGAGATGGGGTCGGCGTCATGGAGGAAGTCGACCGGCGGGGGTTGCCCTTGGCGTCGTCAATGGCTGAAGATGGAGGCGGAGGTTGAAGGCGGCGGTCCACGCGCTCGAAGCCAGCGGCGCAGCCGTGCTGGCGTGGAAGAGGGAGGCGGCCACTTGGGGCCGCTGCGAGACGAGCAGGACGGCGGCGGCGGCGGCCACAAGTTCCGGCCTTCGAGCGCCCGCCACCGCCGCCGCTCCGGCCTTCCACCGCTCGCCGCCGCCGCTCGAGCCCACTGCCGCCGCCGCTCCCGCTGCCGCCACATGTGAGAAAGAGAGAGAAGGGAGTGAGGGAGGAGGAAGGAGGACTGACATGTGGGCCCCACATGTCAGTGAGCCCACATTTCTTTTTGTGTGAATGACTAATGGGTCCCACGTATATTTTTTATTTCTACCGCCACGTATGTGCCACGTCAACGCCACGTGTAACAAAGACCCAGTCAATATTGCCACGTAGGCACCACGTGGCGCCACGTCAGCAAAACCGCCTCCCAAAACCGCCCAGAGAGTCAAATTGCACTGGTTTTAGAAGTTTGAGGGTCGAGATATCAGGTTCTATAGTTTAGGGTCATGGATTAGATTTCGATCACATTTGTAGGGTCGTGAAGTGAACTTATTCCGAGTAAAAATACCAACTTTTCCAATCTTATAAGGACAACATGTGAAATGATCAAATCAAGTCCATTGGATTCAAGAATGTACATGCAAGTATACTACGAAGCGGGAAAAAAAAACTACCATGGCTCGAACTAGAACTGAAATCAGAAGCCTGTAAAAACAATGTTAATAACAATTAAACAAGACTGGCCCCTACGTGATCCTAAACACATCATAATCCCTTCTCGACCAACCATCCATCTGGCGTATAACAGCTGGTACACGTGTCAGACTACAGCACTGCTTCGCTGCCTCTCTATGCAACAGTAGTCATCGATGGCCCGCGGCAGCGGCAGGAGGAGGAGGATGAGGATGTTCTTCTGCCTGTCCGCCGGCGGCGGCGGACGGCGCGGGCTGCTCATCGGAGACGACGATCTCCAGCCGGTCGTCTGCGGCTGCCGCCGGTTGGAGCGCGTCGGCGTCCGACGACGAGGACGCGGTGGCGGAGAGCTGCTGCTGCTGCTGCCGGAAGGTTGCACGCGCGGGGGCCGGGGTGGAGGGCCTGGCGGCGGCGGGGGGGCAGTAGAGGGGCGGCGGCAGCATGGCGGCGGGGGAGGGGGGTGGGTGCTTGGCGTTGGCGGCGGCGGCGCGGAGGGAGGCGCGGCAGACGGGGCAGGTGGAGTGCTGCCTGAGCCAGGCGTCGATGCAGGCGACGTGGAAGGCGTGGCCGCAGGAGGGGAGCACGCGCACCACGTCCTTCGCCTCGTACTCCTCCAGGCACACCGGGCACCTGCGCGCGCGCGCCAAGATTACGTCAGTTTTACCCCCCCCCCCCCCCCCCCAACAGCAAATTAAGCCGACATCAGAAACCGTATTGTCTTGCTTTTTCTATAAAAAAAAGGATATAAATTGTTTTAGAACAATTTAGAGTTTTGTTATTTGCTCACGGCATTCTTAATTCAATTCGGCACTTTGTGCGACAAGGAACATATACCCACCCATAAAAAATATTTAATATATATTGAAGTGAAAAATATGTGCAATGAGTAGTACTTAAAAAATAATCATATTTATCGAGAGAAAGAGGAGTTAAGATAAACGGAACCAAGCGTGGGAAGCTAATTAATTCATTGTATTGATTTCTCATTGGCAATCAATATAAATTCACCAGTATATACAAATATTCATTTAATTAAGATATAAGTAACAATACGACACTATAAAATGCTTCTCTAGAGCACCACATAATTAATGAACTATTATGACGATATATCAGGTTCCTTTTAAGGCCCTTTTTCTGCTGAATGGAATATAAACGATATATGCAAAAAAAAATTGAATGGTTGAATAATTGGTGATACTTATTTAAGAGTATACACGAATTTATTAACTATTATAAAATTTAAAATGGATTTAAAACAATATTTTAAGAATTTCATATGTAGCTCGAGAAGCATGACACTAAATAGAATGCGACGTCCATGGCTCCACCATTAGATAATGAATGTAGTGAAGTTGGTATGAAACTCAAGTGTGAACGTAACTATGCCGTTGATTTTTTTTACTCGCCCGCCCAACATGCGGTGCTTGCAGCTTCGCGAGGCTTCTACTGGAAGCTGCTAGCGTCTTTTGAGTACTGAAGTACGAATCGAACGGTTCATACAGTTTGCTGCCTGCATCTAACGGTGGACAATTTGCAGCTTACGTCGCTAAATTAGGATTCAAGAAAGATCAATTCTTTCACTACTTTAGATTTGCCAAGAGACAACTTCAACCATTATTTTAACAACTTCAACCATTATTTTAAGAACTACATTATGAAAAAGTAGTGTGCACTATCTACTGGTATAAAACAATCTGAATCATTGATCTCGTTTGATTAGAGGGTTTCAGATATATTACTACCACCTCAATAAACAACAATAGTAGAAACATGGAGGGTATTATTATAAAAAGAAAGATGCAAAGGGGTATAATTGTCATTTAGCCGTGATTAAACTTTTTTTTCTCCCTTTTTAGCTTTTCCGATAGAATATGAGCAAAGCCATCGCAATGAATGATTATAGAACGATTTAGCCAAGAAAAAATAATACATAAATACTCCCTCCGTTTCACAATGTAAGTCATTCTATCATTTCCCACATTCATATTGATGTTAATGAATCTAGACATATATATCTATCTAGATTCATTAACATCAATATGAATGTAGAAAATGGTGGAATAACTTAAATTATGAAACGGAGGAAGTAATAGTTACTCTTAATCATGGTATTAGTAAATTATTAATTTATCTATAATAATACTGGTAGTATAATACTACAGTATTTTAATATATCCTCTAAGAGAGTGAAAACTTTACGGAATACAATTTTACAGGTTGTGTCATATTGCAACAAAGGTAACGTAAGTTCAAAGTAAAATATGTCTATTGCAACTAAGGTAACATACGCTCAAAGTAAGACAACAAAAGTAAAATTATCCAGTTTAAAATAGAAACATTAATTAAAATATGGTTCAAAATATCGATATAAAAGATGGCCCAAAATTTACTTTTATAGAGAAGTGATATGTTCCTAACTTTGAAAGTCAAAACAACTTTTGGTAGGAGTACAATAAAGGGCAACATAGTACACTAAACAACCCCCTCCCTATTAATATAAGCCATAATTATAGTATTAGTGACCACTTTCGATCTGACTTTGTCTCTCTGGTACGTCAAGCACAAATGCACAATTGACTATTTCTGAAATTGATAGGCCATCATGGCCTTTATTGGTAAGATAAGGGCAGTTCGAACCCAGAGAACCACTAAACTATCTTGCTTCTGTTAACTAATATCCATAACCCATCATATAGTTTCCAGTTTCGAGGTGATCTTCCCCATTTTGCACTTCTACTTCAGTCTAATGGCAAAAAAACAGGTTTCTGTGACTTCGATCTTACAGAACATTATATTTTTTTTCAAGTAAAGCCAAGTCCAGATCATCTTGATTCTTAAGTAAAGCTAGCTAAATCCGCAAAATTCTTATAAATAAAAAGCAAATCCGCGCAACAAGACCGTTGCACTCTAAACTATATTTAAATTAAGAGAACATGTGATTTATACCAGGGCGAAAGCTATCAGCCAATGTACCTATTATCTCTTTATCAATCTATTTTACTCTCTCCGTTCTTAAATAATATTTACCATTTTAGTCTAAAGATTTATCTCATAAAACTTTCTTTTAAGTGGACCCATTAGACATTTTTAATACAACTTCAATATTCTTCTTCTTGTTTAGCCATTGAACCAGCAATGCTCCCTCCTCGTCGTCCTCATTTTCTCTTCGCATTAATGAATAACAAAGTAACATTTTAATCTCTTACTTAATCTACCTTTGACTCGCTAGAACAATCGTCCCTTAGGATGGAGGGAGTATATTGCTAAGAAAAGATAGTGAACCATCACATTTGTTTCGAGATCTTAGAAATTACTAAATTAATATATGAGGAAAACATAAATATTTGTAAAATTTTATCGCATTGAATCTAGATTATAACCTGAAAAATCGATCAATCTATATAGGTTATATACATGTATTTTTATTCATTATCTAAAAATAGTTATATACAATATAATTATATTAATTATATTTATAGAACTACAAATAAGACCCCCACATAAATACAATTTTTTTAAGGAATTAATAAAATTATTTTTCTAAACAATTTTTAATCTAGCTTTCTGTAATTGTCAACGAAATTCAGCAAGTTGTGATCGATCGTAAAGAAAAAGAAATGATTCAGAAAAAAGAAGAGCTCTCTACTGCTAAAAAATAAAAAGAAAGCGGCCAGCTGCCGTAAAAGGAAAAGGGCCACACGAATTTTGTTTCGCCACGCCATCGCTAGATACGCTCGCGCACAAAGCGAATTCGTCTCGCCTGACGTGATGCATTTCTAGCTAGCTACTGTACTAGCTAGTTGTTGTTGGTATTATCCGCGACGAGAAATTAAATTTGGTCGAATAATCGTGGCATGAGCGCGTGAGATTAAAGCCAATTTAAAACCCAACAAAAAGAGGGAAGGATTAATTGGTGGTGCCTTAACTGCGATTCCTCCAGCGCCGCCGCCGCGCGAGGCCGCGAGCCGCCGTCGCCGAACTTGGCCGTTGGGAAGCTCGTCACCACCGCCGGCTCCAGCCCGCGGATCCCGCGCTCCACCTGCGCGCGCGCGCGCCATGCGAACCGATCACAAACACGCTCGTACGTACGTAGCACGAACGATCAACGAGAGGATGGGGTTGCTGCGTACGTACGCTGAAGGCCGGGAAGGCGTCGCCGTGCGCCGCCGCGGCTGCGGCGGCGGATTGGCCCGCCCTGAGGTGGATGCGGGCGCAGAGCAGCCTGACGAAGATGAAGAGCACGAAGAAGGCGCTGACGGAGAAGGCCATCACCGTCGTCACCGTGTTCATGCTCATGCCGCCGCCGCCGCTCGTCGACTTCTCCGCCGGCGAGGACATTCGCCCTCCAGCATCTCACTCCGGGCTCCACCACCACCACCACCCAATCCGCGAGCTCAGCTAGCTCTGGATTGGATGGTATCCTCCTCCTCCTCCTCCTCTCCTCGCCGTCGGAGAATCAACCAATTAACCAATCAAGCAATCAATCAAATCAATCGACCAATCCACAGCTCCCCGCCGTAATAAAGTGGAAGAGGATGAGAAGGGCGGAGCGCATAGCGCATAGCGGCAACAGCGAGTGTGTACTCGCCTCGCCTGCACCCGCCTCGGCCTAGGGAAATTGTTTTGTTTCCGCTACTGGTAATAATCTATGGTCGTCTGCCGATTAGTTGCACGCTAATCTATCATCGTTGAGACTTGAGAGGCTAATAATCCTCAATTGTTAAGGGGGGGGGGGTTTAGACTGATGATTACGCCCACTGATAATCAATCAATGGATGGGTTAGTTTAATTAATGAACTTAGCAGCTGCTGCTGCTGCTAGGTGGGACCTCGCTTTCAGACGTCCCCCGCGGCCGCGGCCCGCCCCGCTCGCGGGGTCGTGGTGCCCATGCACGCGCCCGTCCACGTTGCGTGTGTGATTGATGCGTTTAGCCCAGCGACTAGCTGCTTCGCCGTGCCGTGTCCACGCGCTCCCCTCCATCGCCGTCGCCTCCTCCTCTCCTCGTTTTTTATCTAGATAATTACATATTTCCTCCGTTTTATTATATAAGTTATTTTAACATTTCCTATATTTATATTGATGTTAATGATATATATGTCTAGATTTATTAACATCAATATAAATATGAAAAAATAATAGAATAAATTATATTATGAAACGGAGGGAGTAGAAGATACACACGCGTGAACACATGTACACATTGATTCAAAGATACACCACTACACATACCCAGGTAGAAATGTAAGTGGCCCACGAACCCACTTATATATCCTACACACGGCCGGTGACACGGGTGGCCCTTGCTGACGTGGGCTATCCGTGTGCGGAGTGCGGACGTGGCAAGTACAACCGGATCGAGCGGATGGCACGGCACGGCGGATCGCGGGTGAAAAACGGTGTCCTTTTTTTTTTAACTGTGGTTTCATTAATCGAAGCGCCAAAGTTCTTTTGAGTACCAGGTACGTGTTCAAGAATAACATGATGGTTACAACACGTAGTATGACAAACTGCCCCGGGACTTGTCGATCGATGAGGCGAGGTTGGAAAACTTATAAAAACTGATCGGTCAGGAATACGTCAACGTATTTGATACTGTTTCCTCTGAAGAATCCAGTTCAGGAATAAAGCCCCGAGGAAAAAAAAAGAGCTTGATGACACGATCTGTCAATTAGTACGCATTTGCTGCCAAATTAATCCTGTTTCGAGCCCTCTAATTGGGAAAAAAAAGGATTTCTCTTGACAATGACGTTGCAATTAAACTGAACCATACAGAATAGATAAACTCGTGATCCCATCAGCTATATCAAACGCGACGACACATGTGAGGTCACACAAATTTGGCTCATCCTCGTGTCATAAAAAAAAAGAAGAAATTGCACACTGCAAACAAGCTCTTTGTGGTGGCAGCCATGGGCCCCCAAAAGCCCAAGTCTAGTAGAGGGACTCTACCGTTTTGTTCAGCTCTTCGAGCTTCTTCATCCGCAGCTGCTCGCTCTCGCCCACAAGCTGCTCAAGATCATATGGAAATACTTAATGAGAGTATAACATAATAAATTCAGAAGAATAAATATATAATGTACCAAAAAACATTACTATAAGAACTGCAGCGTGTAGTAATGATCTTCTGAATATATTATGAAATGGGTATTATAATACCCACTTCACAATATTATTCGTCTAGTTTAAACTTTACAAGTTGTTCCGTGTTTATCCATCGAGTAAATTAAGATATACAATTGTGTATTTCCACTGTCTATCTTTGCTATAAATGGTGAAAAAAAAAACTTAATTAATTAACATATATCATCTGCTAGTGGGAATCTTGCTCCATTAACGGTGGTTAGGCATTTAGAGGAAGTTTTGGACAAATATACATTAGGCCCAACCTTGTTGATGAAGATTTGAGACAAAGGCTGGATGTTGTCTTGTTGCTTGGGAATTTTGGGCTAGGCCCGAAAATTATAACTGGACCTTGAAATGGAAGTAGGCATCAACTTTAAACAATTTTGGCGCAAAAAAAAAAACAGAAACCTCCATTTGGTACTCCATGGGTAGGTGAAAATGATTGGAGGATTCTTGTGATTGGTTGAGAAAAGAAAGTAGGTAAAAAAATTAAATAGAGAATAGTTATAATTGATTAAGAGAAGTTGGTAGGTGTAAAAATATAGCTTCCCTAAAAAAAAGGTGTAGAAATAGATTCATTTTGAGACAAGTACTAGAAATAACTATATTTTAGTACGAATGTAGTATCAAGCTAGCTGTTCTTTGTTCTCACCCTTACCTTGGACTATTCTCATATAACTACTTCGGTTTTTTAAATATGTTTTATCAATAAAGGTATTTTAATCATGTCTTATCTTTTTACATATTTATACTATTTTTTTAATAAAATATATTATCAAACCTCATGTCGAAAAATCAAAGTCATATATTTAAAAACGGATGGAGTAAATGGTACTACGGTTGTTAGTTTCCTACATATTTTTTATGCAAACATTTCCATTTTATATTTAGATAATTGGAATCACAATTTTTTTTTGCTCCAAATAGTTCAAAGAATTTTGAACTTTTCAATGAAATTTGATCAAAATTCAAGTCAGTCCTACAACTATTTTGACTGAATATATATGCTATCTTTCCTGGGTAGCTAAAAACCACTGAAAACCGCTCTTCTGTCACTCACCTCCATCAACCTGTTCACAAGCGTTGCTTTCTCGTTGCTCTTCTCGTTGTAAGCCTCTAGGCACGCCTTGTATTCCTTCTCCTGTTTGTTTTTAGAGGGGAAAAAAGGGTTAACGCCCGGCGCATGCGGTTGAATTCGTCGTAACAAACATGTATGTACAGCTATATTGCTGAAGAAGAAGAAGAAGCAGCAAAAAAGAAAAAAAAACACAATGGCATCCTCACCTTCTTGAGGCAGTTCTTGCCGAGCGGCTTGAGCTGGCGGTTCACCTTGTCGATGCGCTTCCGTATCGTCTCCACCTCCCGCCGCGTCGGATCCGACATCACCTCCAGCTCCTGCAAATCAACCAACAGTTTAGCTTGCGATCAGAGATGATCGATCGCCATGGCGGACACAGGCATGCACGGACGAACAGTCGAACACTGACCTGGCGGATGAAGGCGAGGCGCTTGGTCTCCTCCTCGACCCGGCCGAGCATGGAGAACACCTTCTCCCGCACCTCCAGCTTCTTCCGCTCGATCTCCTCCTCCTTCTCCTTGAACAGCGACAGCGCCGACCGCGACGACGACTGGTCCCACTCCGACGACCCATCCTCCTCGCCGCCGCCGCCGCCGCCGCCGCCGCCGCCGCCCCGCACGCACACGATCTGCATCTGCTGCTCCCTGCCGCCGCCGCCGCACTCCATGCCTCTCGCCTCTGCAGGTGCTTCTCTGCTGCTAGCTGCAACCTCTCTCTCTCTCTCTCTCTCTCACCAACCAATGCTAACCTTACCGCAGCGAGCAATGTGTAGGAACTAGCAGTAGCTACCCTAAGCTAACAACTCCTCTACCTTCCAAGCCTATTTATCTCTTCTCAATCTTCCTTCCTGCTGCCGCTTGGCCATGTTGATATGCACCTTTTTTTTTTCTTTTGCTGCAGAGGATTAATGGTTGAGTACAAGTGTCCTACCTGCAGTCTCAACCTTGAAGCAAGCAGCGGCAGTGCGTATTAACAAGTTTATCAATGGCTTAATCTGACTATATCTTCATGCATGTGTCAGTCATAGCAGCTCATGTCAATGATATCATAAGACTATCTACTAGGGATTTGATGGAAGAGAGGACAGCATGATTTCACGTACATGTGATGTGAGCTGGGGAGCAAACTGTGTTAGGTGAGGCCACTGTGTCAGGGGTCGAGTAGAAGTAACTCCTGCGCAAGCCGCCCAAGTGTTTCATTCTCATGTGAGCCAATGCCTACATGTGCACTGCAGGTTGCAACCTGCCTGCTGCTTCCATTTTCATTTTGCTTGCTGCAGGTGTATCCATCTCTGACTTGGCCTTGCAGCATCAGAGACTCGAGAGTTGTTTTCCTCTTCCATTTTGATATGTCCTTGCGTTGTTATTGGGTTAACATCTCGGAGAGGAAAGCTGAGATGTCTCTTCAGCCTTCAGGGATGGGAGTGCTGGTGCTTTGTGATGAAGCATCCCACACATTTGTGTAGCTGTGCTAGTACTCAAGATGAAGTAGCAGTCAAGGATAAGCAGAACAGAGTAGGACCACACGACCTGTTTAGAAGCTGACATGGCCAACAAACTTTGACTACTAGAAAATCTCACCTTGAAATCACTGGAACTCAAAGCATTTTGCTTAATGATGGCTAAGCCCCGAACATGATTCTAACTTTTCTTTTTGAAAGGATAAACATGATTCTAATTAACTAAGCATCAAGATTCAAGCATCACAAGATGTACAGAAGTGCAGAACTATGTATAACTGGCAGTTCGAACGGTACCAACAAATATACGGGGTTCATGGTTTCGTCGCCGTTCGACAGCCATAGATAATTACAAATAAACGTTTCTTTCCCTCACAAACTAAAACTACAAATTGGGAGCGCAAAGCACAAAAGCAAGCTGTCTAGTCTATCCGGCATTCATCGAAGCAGAACCTAGGAAAGCCGTTCACAGATTGCTGGCAACTAGTTTTTCTTGCTCCTTCGCACTAGCAGCCGCACACACTTGCATGCTGCCTCTTGGTGTTCTCATTCCGCTGGAGCATAGACAACGCAGGTTCTGCTAGGAGAATAAACTGAGAACGAGTAGGGCCTGTTGTCATGTGAACAATCCTGCAAGGAATGAGCACAACAGAGGTTAATAAAGAGCACACAATATACGGTACGCAATTTCATCTGAGCAAGACTTACGGCAGTGAAGTGCTCTGCAGTGTGATGGATCCTGCCAAATCCACCAAAGAGTCCAGCATCTGAGTCCAAGACCACCTGATAGAAAGCAACATAAATTATTTTGCAGTTCAGCAACCAACACATCCAGTTCGTCTGTAAGAAGCATGAACGCGCTGCAAAACTGACTAGAGGACTTTTGAGTAATTTTTACTGGTTATTTTCAAATATATGGAAGGAGTAAACTATGGCAGGGTCAACATAATGGGCACGACTAGTGTAGGTAAATATGAAGTGTTGATGATTACCAAGAACTTCTTTGCTCGTAATTCCTGATTTAACACCAATCAATAAATAATGGCACTTGACATATCCCAGAGACCCAGGGAGAAATATTAGTTACAGTACAATTGGAGACGTACATAACATGAAATTTTTTTAGTCCACATTCAATATTTTTTAATCTGAATAGGAAAAAAAAATGAATGGTTGCAATTTGAGGATCCAGACCTAGGACTATCGCTAACAAAGGCAACTCCTTGACCACCGGGGTGCATATGCAAGCATAGTTGTCAATCTATTTTATTCTTGGGCAGAAATCATACAAATCCGATTTTTTTGGCATTTTGCCATTTTCTACTTGGTTAACAGTAAGGTCGGTAAAGCCTTACCTAGTGAACAAAAACTATAATTGATCACGGGCAATGCACAAATAGCTGCATACCTTATATTTCCCTGGCTTTAAACAACCAACACGGTAGTCAAAATAGCTGTTACTCCAATGGAAGTTGAACACAAATACCAGATCTCCCTTCTCAAATATAATCATCTTATCCTCTTCATGCTTTCGAGATATGTACTGGTGGTCTGATGTCATGAACTGAAATAACATAGCCATAAGAAAACCCCCATCAGTGTCAGAGCAATGTTAAAACAAAACCATCATTTTACTTGCAAAGTTTTTCCTATAAATACAAAAAAGAAATTCTATGAAGGGAAATATATGCATTATATTATTGATAATGCATTTATTCATCAATAAAAATATAAAATTACTGTCCACATAGCCCATGCAAACAAGACAAAATAATTTAATTGGCATCGAACAAAGCTGTCCATTATTTAACAGTATTGATTACTATTGCAATGATTGGAAGACATGAGAAAACATAATGATGCACCTAGATAATGACAATGGGAGCTATTCCTAAGAGTATTGGACATAATTGCATAATGCACAAGTGCAGCTCGTCATTTCACCATATATTTCAAGTGGTTTTGGATAAATAGTTGACATAGCAAGTATCAGTAACAGGACATAAGCATAATGGCTCATATTTGTGCAACCCCCAGAAAAAGATAAGTGATAAATACAACATACCCCATATTTTTCCTCGAGAGACTGCATCGCGCGGTCAAACTCTAGCATGCCACGATACCTAAGATAGTCCGCATCACCCTGACAAAGCAATGAAAAAACTTACTGATCCATAACAAAATCATGGTTCAATGTTGCTGGCCTCGCACAAATGTTAATGTGAATAAAAAGGAATTGATGAATTAGATGAATTGTCATAATGGGACCTTCATGATTAAAACACTGCAGAAGGGGGTAAAAAGATATCTAAATTGAATCCAGGGAATGCAGAACTTATTTTCATCAATAATCAGGTGACAGAGCAAAGAAAGTTACCAGGTCAAATCTTCGACGGCATTTATCATAACTGTTGTTATTCCCTGGGATGAATTTACCATTTGGAAGTACTTGTGGAGCTCTTGGAAAATCAATCCATTCTGCAAAATAAAAGGTAGATCAATGGCCTTTAAGCCAATTGTTTCCCAGAAAATACTAGGTGACAAGAACCATTGTCATCAAATGAGAAGTTGATATAAAATAAGAAACAAACATGGTGTGTGATTGTTATTAAATCTCACCAGGATGTCCGAACTCATTTCCCATAAAGTTAAGATAGCCTTCTCCTCCTAACCCCATTGTGATAAGTCTAATCATTTTATGCAATGCTATTCCACGATCAATGCTAGGTGTTGCCGGTCTGTCCAGAGCCATAAAATCATACATATCCTGCATAAGTACAGTATGTGAGGTTCTCATGCCAGTATTCATTAAAATTCATACATATCCTGCATGTATATGCATTTTCTCAACAATTAAAACTCAAAGAACAACTCTATTATCTCAAGAATAGTACGGTGATACACTGATACACAAATATGTTTTAAGTATTAAAACAAGGAAATAACATTTTCCAAAGAACTAGTAAAGAATAGAAAATTCATAAATACATGTTGCAACTAATACAAGAAAAACTGGGTGTAGACTGCAGAAAGCCTAAAGCTATCCAACTTAAAACACTGATCTAGCTGTGGTTTTCATACCGTTCTTACTATCCACAATGAATGCATTGAGTATATTTGAGTAAAATCAGTACAAATAATTATCAAGGATATATTAAAGAGCCATTAGTTACAGTCCTAATCAGTAAAACACTAAAACCTAGAGATTGATGTGTGGTAACCTTGTCCATCAACCAGAATGCAATAGTTTTGTCACCAACTAGTGCTTGATCATGACTTTCAGCATAAGTAACACACTTCTCTGACCACCTTCTGTTAGTCAGTGTGTGCACAATATCACCCATCTTCCAAGATTCATCACTTTGCCTGTGTAAAATAAAAATTGAAACTCTGGCACCACATCTTTCAATTAAAGGATACAAAATAACAATCTTTCCCAGTTTCTAAATAAAAGCTAAACAGCTGACAAAAAAGTGAGATACGATGAGCATGGGCATTTTTATACCACATAATAAAGGAGCATTAAAAATGTAACGTTGCCAAGTCAAACTCTATAAGTTGGTAGTTGCATCTTATTTTATACTAATAATGGAACTCACACGACCACTGTTCATATGACCAAATCCAGCACATCACATTGGTAAATGCCTATAACCCTATATATGAGTGATCTTTTTTTTTTTTAAAAAAAAATCAAGGGCAGGAGTTATGCCAATTAACTTCAGAAGAGAAATAGAGATATCATGGTCAAGGAAACCAATGTATACAAAAAAGAATTTAACACAAGAAAACAGTTTATGTTCATTAGATATGTAATTAGTATTTCTATTAACCAAAATTTGAAACACTTACTTGAGGAGTTCAATCCATTTGTCAGGAACAGCCATATGAAGGCGATAATCAAAACCAACCCCACCATCTTGAACAGGAAGGGCAAATGTAGGCATTCCACTGACCTGAAGTAGTTATATGCCATTTAACCACAGAACAGTTGAAATTAAGTTATCTTTTGCAATAGAGTTAGGTTTACGTATGGGATTTAGAGTATTGTTACTACTATTGCAACTCTAGACCATACAGGCGACAGGCTGAGCAAGTGGTCTGCAGAAGTGTGTCTTCTGTGATCAAAGTGTGGAGTCAATTGACCACCTTCTAATCCAATGTCCAGAAACACTACAGCTATGGTGGACAGTTCTATGCGGCATTGGCCAATCCCATTGCTTCCCATCAAATGAGCAGCCCTTCCTCGTATGGTGGTGCGACAGCCGAGACAAAATCATAGCGGCCCAAAGATGAGGGTTTGACACCATCATCATATCCTGGTGGCCTGGACGATACAAAAGGAGTGGAAAAACCGGGTTTTCAATGGTCAATGCAAGACCATGCAGGAGATAGCGGAGCTAGTGGCATCGGAGGCCGCGCCCTGGAGGGAGGCAGGAGCGCGCATCTAGGTGGAGCATTTGGTCATCAAATTGTTCCGCG